CTTGAAATGCGCTGGGTCCATAAGGATCCGCAGCGCTTAGAGATCTTCACACAGCATGAAGTCTCCTCCTCCCTTGTTCGTGGAGTCCTCCAACTTGGGCGGAAACCACTCAAGCCTCTTATACGGCTAGCAAGCCAATCACTAGCCGCCACGTGTGAATAATTTAGAACTGGCCAATAATGGGACTCGAATTAGCATACAAATGGTGGGAACTCTTTGCAACGAGCACCTCTATGCTGCAACAAAGAAATGCACCCTGCAAAGAAAGCTTCAAATTGGCGGGAAATTCTCCCCTGCACCGGGGTTCTCTTTTGCAGCAGAAAACTCCACCGTGCAAGGAAGCTGCAATTTAGCGGGGACAATTTAGCAGTGCCGAAGCACACACAAACAAAAATCACACCCTTTGGGTTGTGACACGAATAAAGCATTACAGACAGGTAGATTAAGGCTTTTATAATATTGGAATTATAGCATCAGTGACGCAACGTGTTACAGAGACGTAGTGTCAGCAGGCACAAACCATGACACTGCAGCTACACTGCTATAGTGATGCTCTTCCTCACCATAGCGTGTTGCTATGGCAACATAGCAGCTAAAAATAACTGTGAGCAGCCGGCATGGCTTCTAAAGGAAGTACTTCTTAAAAAAAGTACTAAATGATGGCACAGTAACAATGACGTCGTAGGGGCACATGTAGACGCACCCAGTACAAATTATAAGGACAAATGCTCAAGGACTTATACATGTGATTAGCTACGTAATGTAAATACTCCAACTTCATACAATCAAGCATGCATATAAATCTCTCCATGATCCAAGCCCAGCACCTCAAACCTGCTAACTGTTCTACTTTCAGCAAAAGTCAAGAGGTTTTCGGCAGCTGTGGATCCTTTCGCAGTGTTCTGGGACCTGGACCAAAGTGAGGACCTCAAGATATGGTCCCACTTAATCAATGCAACATTAAGTTTGGGATTTTAACATTGTTTCATACTGACTCACTCACTCAGCTGCCTATTCTCTGTTCTCCATCTGTAGCAGTATCTTTTTCAGAAACTGATGAATGGAAATTGATTAACATTTGGCATATAATATTTTCAATAGGAACCTTTGGTGCATATACAAACTGGGATCTGAATTGCAATAATGAATGGTAAGTCGATTACTTTTTACTGAAACAGTCACTTGCCTCTGTCAGCAGAATAGACAATAATGCCTGAACGGCAGAAATTAGGGAAACCTTTGTCCTGTGACTGGGACTACTGCTGACAGTACAACGATAAATAACATCTAGCTTTATATTGTCCCTTATCAGAAGACATCAATGCACTTCACAAAGGAGATTCATTGCATTATCTCCATATGTTAAAAACACAAATGAGGACACTCCTGAGATTCAGGCTCACACCAGGCTCTGACAACCAAGTCACTCTCTTGCATGGGAGGCCACTCTACCCAAAACTATTCTGCAGGCTTGTTGCTATAATTAAGAAGCATTGCACAACTGTTTTATTTCTCACAAAGGTCTGACTTTTGTGTAAGATGGATTTGGCCCAAGCCTCTACATGTCTTCAAAGGTCCAGGACACCTTACACATAACATATGTGCAGTATTGCCAACTCTCATGGTTTTTGGCATGGTTCTTAAAGTCTATGCCAAAACTATTCTGCAGGCTTGTTGCTATAATTAAGAAGCATTGCACAACTGTTTTATTTCTCACAAAGGTCTGACTTTTGTGTAAGATGGATTTGGCCCAAGCCTCTACATGTCTTCAAAGGTCCAGGACACCTTACACATAACATATGTGCAGTATTGCCAACTCTCATGGTTTTTGGCATGGTTCTTAAAGTCTATGCTTTGGGCATGTGAAAAACCTAGCTCTTTTATATATATATATATATATA